CCTGATCCTGTACGATCTTTTCGTTCATTGGAACGATCACGTAGATGGCGTTCAGCTTGTTGGTGTGCCTAAGCGCCGGGTCCGTCTTGTAGTTATCGCCCACCACGACGATTACCCTAGAAGCGTTTCGCATCCTCCTCGCGAAGCGCTGTGCCACGTTTCTGTCGGGTGCCCGCCCGTGCATTAGGACGTCGGAGCCGTACAGGATCCCCGCCGCCAACGGCAGCAGCGCGCTGGTAGCGGCATTTGCCGATGGTTCGGCGGCCGCATTTCGAATCTGACAGTCAAAACAAACTCGGGTTGTAGCTCGCGTAACAATACGGTGGGAACCGGGATGCCTGCCTGCGATCATGAGGGGTCGACAGTCGTCCGCCTCACACGATTCGTTGTTGTCGTCATCATTTTGATCGATCTGTTCGTCTTTAGATGTGGTCGTTGTCATCTTCATTTTTTCACTAGTAATGAGAGTTGATTGTTCTTCATTATGATGTATTGTTAAATCACATAAATGATCGAGTTTTTTAAAACCACCACTATAAGATCGGGGATCACAACCAACATTTACATTAAGATGTTCGTAGACGGCCCGGAATGGAAAGATCCACCGAATGGATTTCCTTCCTGGATCTATGGTATACTTGACGATATGGTTAACGTCGCTGTTTTTGACAATGTCTGGTGTTAGAGGACAGGGTATAAAATGAAGAATCTTCTTGCCATAATCTGGTATGCAGATGGAGGGTTGGCAATGAGAAATTTGCTGGAATGATCTTTTATTGTAAGCATGTGCTGTCACTACACCAGTACTGATGGAATCAATCCTTTCTTTCATTATCATTGAATGTAACAAAGTCGTACCATTCTTGACGTCACCAGAATGTGAATAGGGACAGAGTCGGTTCTCTGCTTGGCGAAATAAAGTAGTTTATTTGTCGGCCCCAAATGTGTAAATATCAAATCATAATAATCATTATTAAATTGTTTCGATAATGCGAACACCAGTGGTGAATTTTGTACATCATCCCTTGGAATGGGTGTTTCGATCACATTCTGATCTATTTTCTGAAGCGTAAAATTGGAAATTTGTTTCGTTATTCCAAGTTGGTCAATATTTCTTTGCGAGAGGTTATCCATGATAAACCTCTCGTAGTTTTCATGATTTGAGGCATCGAGCAAGGATGCGTATTCTTTGGTTTTGAAGTTATTTTCCCAGGTGACGGTACCGCGCGATGCGGTAGAAGAGTGTACAGCCAGACGGTCTCCCGAAAAAACATGACACGATGTACCCGGAAGGTCTAAATCAATCAGAATCTTCTCCACATGTTTAGCACTGCAGGCTAATGGAGAAAATACGTAATTTTTATCAGACATTATGATAAAAATTGTTGTATGTTCTTAGTCGTCGAAATGGTTCGTTTATATCCACGCTTTTAATCAACAATGCCCTCACAAAAGTATTATTTCTTTGTCTATTTGTATTTGGCTAACAATTCATTCTAGCAATATGACTTACATGAATTTAAAAAATTTATATATGAACATTTTACATTTGGTTAATAGCTAAATAGAAACATTTTCTAGATAACCCTTATTAGATGAATATCGTCATCTTTGAGACCTATTTTATTTTCGTACGGTATGGTCCACTTTATTTTCAGACCAATTGATAACATATTCCATCAAAATGTGAGTATCCTGATAACTATCAATCGGTATATGATCCATCATATAAAAGATGATCCCTTTCCTATAATCGGGTATACAGATGGTGGGTTGACAATATCCAACTTGTGCATGTGTCTTAAAATTGACATGGTTCGATAACAGTGTACGTGGTCTCCTGTCGTCATCACCATCCTTTGCCTTTACTTCAAATATCTTTACAAGGGCGAAAGTTCCGGTCTTTTTCGTCAAAATAAGAGGCGCAATGTTAGTATAACAGGTAGAACCCGAGTGGTTAGATCTTAGATTATAACTATTGTTAATTGTTAGATCATAGTTACTATCATCATCAATATTACCACTTTGAACCCCCCATACTCCAAATATTAACGGCGATTCACATTCCGTATCTTCGGCGGGTAGTGAAGTGACAATCATTTGAGTTTTGTCACCTTTAATTTCTCGAAGTGTATAATCGGAAAATTTTTTTAATCTGTCATCATTTATAATACAGTTCTTTAGTAACATATTGCTCTGACTTTGACTGTTATCCAGAGATCTTCTCGTCAACCAACATTGTTCGTTGAGTTTAACAAAGCCTTCTTTATATCTCTCGGTATTAATATGGGAAAGAAATTGCTCATAGATTGGTCGTCGAGGGAAAATCCACTGGATCGTTCTTTTGCTCGGATTTATGATATATTTGGCAATGTGGTTGACGTTCACGTTATTTTCTTCCGTTTCTACTCGGCAGACTTTATAACTGATTGTCTTTTTCCCGTGATCCGGTAAGCAGATGAGAGGATGTGATAAATTACAGATATCTTTCAGCGGTTTATTGTAGGCCTTTCCTGTTATCATACCTATATATTTTTTAGAGGAATTTTCCATTTTTTCTTCATGAATTGGTTTAAACATCATTTCCAATCGGGTTTTACTGTCTCCAAGGTTACCGGTATGCGAATAAGGAATCTTGCCATTGCTCCTATGTGATATGTAGAGCGGCTCTAAGGTGGGAGCCAGTTGTCCTATTGGCTGGGGTGCAATTATTAACTCAAAGTGATTCTCACCAGCAGAATTTGATAGACTAAAAAGTAACGGCAAGCCATCCGTGTCGTCCCATTCTAATTCTGGGAGGGTTGTCTCGATCACACTACCGTTATCTATACGCCAATCATATTCACTATACCTTTTTAGTTCATCCATTCGGTTCACACTATTAACGATAAACCTTTTTAGCTCATCAATTTGGTCTACACAATTTTGGTTTGGTCCACGGCTATTAACGTCCTGCATGGTTAATACCATGCTAAAGATAAGTCACCCAGTTAAGTGTTTATGTTTGATATAGAATAATAAGAAATGATTGCAAGTCAACTGTATAAATGACAAATATTTCTTTTATTTTCATGATAATTATATTTATATATCGTTCCTTTCCAACGTAATAGAGAATATCTTTTTCAAATACATTGTTTGGTTAATATCTGTATCCCTCTGTAAACGGATTATAGTGAAAAACTACTAAGCTGTCCCTGCTCTGTTGTCTATATAAAATTGCTCTTGTTTTTGTCGTTTTCTACCTCAAGCTCTACTGTTTAATCAATAATATTGTTTATATATGTGTCGAGCGGATGAATTTATTTAATACATTGCTATTAAGATCAACCTTAACACCCGTGACATCTTCGTAAAAGTCGTCAAAGTCTGGTATGATCCACCAAGCTTTTTTTGAAAACGACCAATCTACAAGATATTTTATCATATAATGGACGATGTCTTTTTTTTCTGAATACCATGTGTCTGTTCGATCAGTCACATAATAAAGGACCCCTTTCCATAGTCGGGTATGTAGATGATGGGCTCACAATATTCAGTCTCATCGGATGTTTCAAATTTGCTAAAAAATATACCGCTCGTTATATTCACTCCCCTGTTAATTCCTGGTGACCTATGATGAAGATTCTTGCTGTCGTCTCTAAGTAGAATATCATATTTTTTCCCAAAATAGGTATTTTTATTCCATACTCCGAATATTAATGGGTATACATTGTCTCCATTGCAGGGTAGTGAAGTTTCGATCATCTGAAATTTTTCATTACGATTAATTTCTTTAAGTGTAAAATCAGAAAATTGAACCAATCTATCATATTAATAATACTTTGAATAAATAATAAAGATTTCTTTGTTAACCAACATTGTTCATCGAGTTTACTAAAACCCCGTTTGTACATCTCGGCCTTAATACCATCATCGTTTTCCTTGACTGTCTCATAGACGGGTGTTTGAGGAAATATCCACCTAATTACTTTATTGCTCGGATCTATGATATACTTGGCAATGTGCTTTACGTTCACGGTGTCATTTTCCGCATCTAATTGACAAGGTCTAATAATGATTGTCTTTTCTTATGATCTGGTAAACAAATTAGAGGATAATATAAATGATACAGATTTTTGACCGGTGAATCGAAAACATGTCCTGTTATTGCACCTGTAAATGTCTGGGTAGTAATTCTGTCTTTATTTTGGTTTGAACATCATCATCTCCAATCGGATCTCAGAGTCACCAGTATTACCAGTATGTGAATATGGAGACTCGGCATCGCTTTTACGTGATATGTAGAGTGATTCTAGTGTGTGTGGTGGTTGTCCTATCAACCAAGGTGTAAATACCAGGTTAAAATTACAATCATAAAATGACACTCCAAACATCAAAGGCAAGCCATCTGTGTCACTCCTTTTTAATACCGGAAGAGTTGTATCAATCACGTTTCCTTCAGTATGATCCCACTCTAAACCATAGTTGTGGAGTTTTTTTAAACTATCCAGTTTATTAATACAATAACTGATATGTGCAAGGTTGCTATCCATGATTGTAGATAGATGGGTTATCTGGTTAGATATTATTTAAGAATTTTGCCTAACTGTAATTCACATAAAAAGTTTTATGCTTATAATTTTATATTTATATTTAAATAAATACATCATCATTGTACTTGGAGAAAAAGAATCAGGTGAGTAGGAGGAGGGTAAAGAAAAGTGGGCCATAAACGTTACAAAAAATATATTTCAATGAAATTACACATATATAAAAACATATAATGTATACATATATATATATATATATATATATATATATATATATATATATATATATATATATATATATATATATATATATATATATATATATATATTATGGTTTATAGGGAACAATGGTATATTCAATAATCTTTGTACAAATGGGACATTTTGTTAAATTTAAAGAACAAGTTTTACACGTGACCATATGTGCGCAAGGTATGAATAATATACTAATTTCATGTACCATACACACTACACATGTAGTAGAGTCGCGTATCCGATCAAGCTCCTTTTCCAATTCATTTCCTAATAAAGAGAAAGATACAATTGATTAGAATATTTAAACAACGAATTATATTATTAGCCTTATACTTATTGTTACAGATAATACTTACTGTCACAAGCAATCCGTTGTGAGTTATTTTGTCTCTCTATTTCATTTGATGGCGTCTGATGTACAGCAGAATTCACGATTCTCACTTCACTATTCTTGTATACTCCTCACCACTAGTCGGATCTATTTGAGTGGCCGTGATTGGGGTCACAGATTCTTCTCTAGATGTATTTGCCATTTCGGTATTCATCACTTGGCAAACGAGAATCATGTGGTTCAGGTTGTTGGTCATTAAGTTGTTGATATTGCAGTGAAGAATTTTCTCGTTGAATCTGAAAATAAAATAATAATATATATATATATATATATATATATATATATATATATATATATATATATATATATATATATATATATAGGAGAGAGGGAATATAAATAAAGTAAAAAGAAAAAGAACATATATTTACTTACTTTGTCGATGAATTCTTGCCCTTTTGTTATTTTAACGTAGTAACAATCTGGATACCACCTAGCATGTTCAATCCAAGGTATATCACTGGTTTCCCAGTTGTGTAATCCATTTCCACAGTGAAAACAACGAACGTGGTCACTCAAACCTGTGGTCAAGTTCTATAGTCACAATTCAACATTGATAATATATGGTTTCCCAATATTTCAACAATTCTTTGTAATATGACTCACCACAATAAAAAAAACCCGCGTCGACAAGATCTTCTTTTATTTGTGTAAGTTCATCAGGCCACTTGGTACTGTCATCAAAGCTTTTCAGTCTATCCTCTTTCAACATAAAGCTGTCACGTTTTGGTGGAGAATGTTTGGTAAAAACACCCGGGGGGTGTGTTTGTTAATATCCGGAGGAGCTTTATAGGGGGGAAAATAGCAAAATATTAATTTTCGATAACTCGAATTATATCAAAATATTTGTAATTTCACTTACCGCATTCAGGATTTCAAAAAAATATTGTAATTTCACTTACCGCATTCGGGATAAGATCCGGCCATAAGTCTTGGGGTTCCACAAATATCTGTATCCTGTGTGTAGCAAATATTGTTTTTTGGATTGATAGCAATATTACCAACATTTTGTCCCCTTATAAAAGGACAATGAGGTGAATGTCTCTCATGTTCTTGTCTTGGGTTGTCATTCTTTTCCCACATCCCAATTATTTGTGCACAGAATATACACGCACAATGATCTTTAGTCCTCATATAATAAAAGCCAGCAGCAGCTAGTTCAGAAGGCTTTAACCATTCCAATGGCCAGTCGATAAACGTCTGTAATCTCGCAGTCTCAGATTTTAAATAATCATAATTTTGAATGTCTTGTTGATTCTAGACTTGAGCCTTAATGACGATTCTTGTGTAGACGAACATCCGGTCTTCTCTATTTCTTTATCCATCTTTTTAAAGACTAGCTTCATTTTTAAATCTCAGCATATAAGTACAAAAATTAATCTATACAGCCCTTCATAGTCGACATTTTTTTTTATAATTTTATTATTCGTTAATTTACAGGCAAAAGCTGAATTATGAGATATGAAACTCTTATTATTTGTCCAATTATCATCAACCAGTCTGCTGCATAAAAGACACTTTCATAATGCCCATAATTTTTCATAACTTTATTTATGAAATTACAAGTGATATATATATATATATATATATACATATAGAGAGAGAATTTACATATAGGGTTTACATATATTCAATCATTTTTGTACAAACGGGACACCTTTCTATATTTAAAGCACAATAATGACATGTGACCATATGTGCGCAAGGTGTGAACATTACACTAATTTTATACACCATACACAATTTGCATGTGATAGAGTTGCGCATCTGTTCAAGTTCATTTTCCAATTCATCTCCTAAAAAGAGAATAGCACAATTGGTTAGATTACAAAAGACAGATTATATATATATATATATATATATATATATATATATATATATATATATATATATATATATATATATATATATATATATAAAATTAATAAATAACAATTTATTATATCATTCGTCATATACCTACTTGTATGATTAGTCCATTGTGAGGTAATGGTATTATCTTGTCTCTCTTTTTATTCGTTGACAGTATTGTCGTCTTCGTCGCAGCTTTGGTAGTGATCATTTTTTGTACAGCAGAATTCACGATTTTTACTCCACCTATATCAGTATATTCCCCGCCACTAGTCAGACTTACTTGAGTAGCCGTGACTGGACATATCATTCCGTATATTCAGTACAACTATGACTCTTACTTATTTGTGGAGTTATAGATTCTTTTACATCAAGAATCATAGTATCAATTCTGTCATAGGTCCACATTCCAGTTCTCTTAAAGCGATCAATAATAATGTCTCTAAGAAATCTATAATTGTATTCTTCATCTCTCATATCAAACTCACTTTTCATATATTTTAACACAACTCTAAAAATATCATATTCATTTATTAAAAGTTCAATTTGTTGTTCATCAGGTTGTTGGTATTGCAATGGAGGATTTTCTCGTTGAATCTGAAAAAACAAATATCAAACAAGTGATTAACTATATATATATAATATATATATATATATATATATATATATATATTATATATAATATATATATATATATATAGACAATCACTATAAAAAAACAATCACATTATACATAAAGAATATAGAAAAAGTCAGAAAATACTTACTTTTTTCAATAATTCTTGTCCTTTCCTAATATTAACATAATGGCAATGTGGGATCTAGCATGCTCATTCCAAGGTATATCACCAGATATTCCCCAGTTGCGTAGACCATTTCCACAGTTGAAAACAACGAAATCGTGTCACTCTAAACCTGTATATGATAAGTTTCGCAATATCAATATTACCCATAATATTATTTATATATAGATATTAATAGAAATAAGATATAAGATATAAATTAAAGTACATAAGTATATATATAATATTAATATGAAGTTATATATTATTAATAGTATTTTAATAATAATATACGTAAGTGTGTGACTGTGTCGAATAATATCGGCCTATATATGAGAGGAAANCATTCCAAGGTATATCACCAGATTCCCAGTTGCGTAGACCATTTCCACAGTGAAAACAACGAACGTGGTCACTCAAACCTGTAATGATAATTTCGCATATCAATATTACCCATAATATATATATATATATATATATATATATATATATATATATATATATATATATATATATATATATATATATATATGTATATGTGTGTGTGTGTGTGTATACGTTATTAAAACTTACCGCAATAAAAAAAACCTGCGTCGACAAGATCTTCTCTTGTTTGTGTAAGATCATCAGGCCATTTGTTAACATCAAAACTTTTCAATCTCTTTTCTATTAACATATAATCCTTGCGTTTTGGTGGACAACGTTTGATAAAAACACCCAGGCGATCACATTCAGGATAAGACTTAGTCACAATTGTTCCGCAAGTATTCTGATTGATGGGAACATTACCAACCGGTTGATCCCTAATAAAGGGACAAAAAGGTGCAATCCTTTCATGTTTTTGTCTTGGATTATCATTTATTTCAATCTGAATTAATTGCCAACAAAATACACACGTACAATAATCTTTAGTCCTTGTATAAATAAATCCATCAGTAGCTAGTTCAGAAGGATTTGGCTTTTCCAATGGCCAGTCGATAAATGTCTGTAATCTTGTCGCCTCAAACACCAAGTCAAGACTCTTGAACGCCTTATAGATTCTAGACTTGGACGATTCTTGTGTGAACGAGCACCCCTCGGAATTTTCTTTTTCCATCTTCTTCTGTGAAAATGAACTTTTTTTTATATATCTCGTTGTATAAATATAAAAATTTAACTATATAGCCCTTATATGTTAATATTTTTGTTATAAGAACCACATTACAATACAAATAATTGTATAAACTCTGGCCAATATACATATACATATATATATATATATCAGATGATTTTTGTTGGTGCTTCAATCGCAGAGTAAATATCTTATTTGTAACATAGGGCTACTCTGCAGGTCTGAAAGCGAGAACTCGGAAATAACTATAAATACAATAGTTAACTATGGATCATAATAAGGTAATATAGTATATTTTTATATATAAATCAAGGTATCCGTTTATTCAATTTCTTATTTTTAACGTTTTTGTTTCGTCGCCATATCTCACAGTTTTCGTTCTTCCCTTCTTACAGATCGTTCTTGTCTCAGCATCAATTCTTGTTCTGATCACCGTTCTGGTATCGCACAACAGTAACGGTGTAAAATTCGTCTTGAAACTAAACACTTCCTGCAATATGAGTGACAGATTATCCATCAGAAGAAAGAGGCAGACCTTTGACGCTTCGTGTAAAGGGGTATACGACCGAAGACTCTGGACCAAGCTCAATAGGGTGTGTTTGGACTGCCAGAATATCTATAGGAAGGATACAACTATTGAGAGAGATTGCAGGTAAAAGATACATATATATATATATATATATATATATATATATATATATATATATATATATATATATATATATATATATATATATATATATATATATATGTTTGTATTCTTATATAAAAAAAAAACTATGAAACTATACAAATCTGTTTATATTTAACACTAAATAATATACTTTCTTCTCTCTAGGAAAAATTGCTTCGGTACAGAAATATTCTATGGGTGCATCTTGACCCTGAATCTTCCCAAGAAATATTATTTATTCTATGCCGACCTCTTGAGAGAATAGTGTGCATGAACAAGGTAATACATTATAAGTATAGGTTATTGTTTTTTTTCCATACGAGTAACATATTTAACCTTATTCAATCACCAGTGCATATATTGTTAATATATCGATTCGTGTTTCTTTCCAGGTATCCAGAGAGGTGAATAAGTAATCATGGTGTTAAACGACTATTTCTCCAATTATGACTATGGAACAAAATAAAAAAATATATATTTCTTGATAACTCATTGATATTATTATCCTCTTAAGCTAATGAGTGATTGGTTATATTAAAAAAAACTTTCATATTACAATCATTTTTATCTTATTGAACGAATTACCTAGGAGGTCTATTATATATACATTGTATATATATTATTGGCTTTTCTATATAGATGTTTGAATGAAATTAGAAAACGGTTTTGTAAATTCTGAAAAAAAATATCTAACGGAGGCAGAATTTTCTTTTAGTTCCTCAACGTCTTTATATTTCATGAGATTGTTTTCATTTAGATTGAACAATCGAGAATTCTTGATAAAATCACAAACAATTATTCTCGTCTTAGTTATTGCAAGGTGGGATCTCGCCAATAAAAATATATAAATAAGTATTGCTACAAGAAAAAGGTTTAGGGGAATATCGCTTTGCCAGAAACTAACAAGACCAAAGAAAAGAACCAACGTTCCAATCAACATGCTAACACCGGCACCCAACATTGTCCATTTCGCCATGATTCGTGTTTCTTGCAGTGATTCTAGCTTTACAAAATGATTTCTATCTTCTTTATGTTCTAAATTGTAGGCCGTTACACGTGGCGCATTGTAGGTTACCATATCCGTATATTTTGATCCAGTATGTAATAGTTTCACAATTTTCTCCTTACCCCCGTCTAGATAAGCAGTGATCGGTCCTCCGTTGTTGCTACTGTTGTTATTAGTACCGGTTGCTCTAGATAAAGGTTGTCCTAAACTATTCATCGTCTTGGTTCCGAGATATTCAAAATACGCTTCCTGTAAGAATGTTTCGGTCTTCGACCCAATGAGCGGCTTTTCGTCAAAATATGTATTTAGAAAGGTTTCATAGTCATTTTTATTCTCATCAAAGCTATTCATTTCCGAATTTATAGCAATTTCTACTAGTTCCTTTGGTGTTACTGGAGCTATTTCCCCAGCCGTTAAATCCGTTGTCGATTTGAAGGCTGTTACATAATTTTTGATATGTGATGCCAAGGTTTCTGGTGTCATAACGTTATCGTACCATGTCATGTTTAATGCCAAGTCAAGAACCATACCTAGAACCCCCCTACTATCAGGAGAATACCAATTCCATCTAATACCCCTGCAACCAGTGCTGCTAGTTCAACAAATATTTCCAGTGCTGTAACAATGGCTCCTCGCACTAAAAAATCTACCGCTAGTCGCTGGGCGGTAGAAATTACCATTCTAGAAAAGACGGTCGTCAAGGCATCTTCTGCCATTAGCGCACCTCTCGCTGCCAACGACTCTATGGTACGAACCGACAGTCTCTCGACAATGTTTCTACAAGCGGTAGCCATATACGATAGGCTCTTGTGTATTACATTATCCACCATCAGCATAACAAAAAAATTATTATCGTAAGAAAAATCATCGTTATACCTTGCCCAGTCGGGAGATATGAGATCGTGAAGATCGTTCCATAAATGAAAAGCAATGTTTGTCAAGCTCTTTCTTATTGTCGGCATAAAAGGATACATGTTCAATAGAGATGGAATAAAAGTGGTGGACGCGGATGTATTATTACCCGAACCTGTAATTGACTTGACCATTTGAATGATATAGGGTGGCTTTTCTGACTTTGGTGACGTTTCACCCTCATGAATTCTATAGCGGTCATTGACAAACATTGTCAGATCGTCATCGCTCTTGAATAGAGGATGTTGTTGTTTCTTTTCACGTAAGCGCGCATTTGGAAACATGATATTCTTTATCTTGGAATAAAGGTTGATAATTTGAAGTGCCTCGGGTAATTTTACACATCGGTCGTTTTTACACACATGTAAAATTTTTGAAAGTATTAATCGTCTTGCCTCTAGATCTTTTACTTTATGCACTTTACATATAACAACAAAGTCTATTAATGTTTCTATAATATTTTCTGCTTTTCTTTCTATAGCCATTATCTTGTCCTTTTTTCTTACTCTATATTTTTTTTCGTTTCCTTTCAAAAAGGATATCATTTCATCTTTTAGCTTTTTTATTGAGTCTAGCTTTTTCTCATTTAGATCTTTAAGATATCCATCTGTAATCACATCACCATTATTAGGTATCGAATTGTTTACAACCCTTGTTATTCGCGCATTAGTATTAGTAGGGGTAGTCAATGCTAATTGTGATAATGGTAAATCCGCCTTTGAGAAAGTCGTTTCATCTCCACTCCCGCCATTGTCATCAGAAAGTATAGACGATGTCAGTATGTCAGTTATAGCAGACGACATCATTTTTATTTTATTGTTCGTATTAGATTTTTTGTCATTGTCGCGTTTTATTATTTTTTCGACGTTCGGGTATTTAAGTTTTCTCATATTTACCTTAGTCCTAGCATTATTTATCATGTTGGTATTCTGTGGAAAAAACACGTTAGATATAGCTGTGCCAAAAGTCATGTGTAACAACTTCATCCACGTGCTACGATAGCATTTTTTCTCTTTATCGTTAAACCATCTCTTGAAATATTGACAATAGGCTTGGGTAATTTCTAATTTATTATACATGCCATTATCAATGACGGTAAATGGTGGGACAAAATTATCATTGTAACCATTTACAATATCGCCAGACTGGGTGACTCTGGATTGGGGCAAGGTACCCCATAACAGTAAATTCTGATTGATATAATTACAGATTCCATTTTCTCCTTTTATCATTAGATTCCCACTGGCTTTGGGAAGTCCAGTATGTGGATCAATCCTTTTACTGAGACTATAGCATGCCTCTCCACACGCTGTATACATGTCGGATTTCAATCCAAAGTTTATATCGATAGCTGGTGTCTTTTTAAAGTTACATGACCCTATCCCATTTTTGTTATCTCGAACATCTATTGGCAAGCAAGAAAATTTTGAGCAATCAAGCTTGTCAACATTATAGGTAATTTCGTAAAACGGGGCGAGTGCCTGACCACGCTCTATCTCGATGCCCAGCGATTTCCAACCGTCGATCCCTTGATTGGTTATATTGACAAAGGAATAAGTAGCTGGCTCAAGGGCGACTAATGAACAAATTTGCTGTTGCAGTAATTTATTTTTTGAATACATATCAGCATCGCTATAGTTTTTTTCAGTATAACCACCTACAGGTAAATTAAAATCTGCAGGTGCCATATTTGTGGGGGAGAATGAAGATTATAAATCCTTATTACAGTGAGTGTGACGGAAGATACAACCCAAAAAATAAAGTAGCTGACTAAAAACATTTAAAGTAAGAATATTTAAAGTAAAAATATTTATATCGAATAATTAGTATTGTAATTAATATAGTATCACCAAGAGACAATTTCACAAACTGAAAATGGATAAAGTCTACAAGACCTCAAGTAACCCGAAAGGTCAAGATCTCATTATAGATGATCTCGTTGACTCTCCCAATAATAATATTAATAATAACAACAACCAATATTAAAAGAACTTTTCAACAAACTCAACTTTAACGTCTTGATGTATAAAAAACGCACATATAAAAGGCTATATTAATTCAATAAAGAATTTTTGAATTTGCATCGATTTCTCATAACGATTACAATTGTATATATATATATATATATATATATATATATATATATATATATATATATATATATATATATGTAGATACAATATGGATAAAGTATTTGAAAACATATAATAGAGATATTTGAATAATTGTCCAAATTTAGCTGAAAATCCAAAGATATTTATAAATATTTGCCTAATAGCATATGATGAGTGTGATTGTACCCAGAGTCCATATTTTACTAGTGATGATAATGGTTACACACCTACCTGCTACTACTACATTTTTTTTTCTTAATTGTGGAACAAACTAAAAGAT